TCCTATGAGAATAGCCTAAATGTCTATCTTACGCACTGCAGAGAATTGAATTGAGAGACCAAACAAAGAAGATATAATAGGATGATTAATTAGTTCATGTTTCTCATGTTAAGAAGTTTCAAGTAAAACTAGGGCTGGGTGGAAAAGAGTGTGGCTGTCCCCTGCTTTTATAGAGAATTGGAGCGTGATACATGTACAGAATCTACAGATTCCTGATGTTTTGAAACACCTTTCCATTTTCCACTTGGTTTATAGTCTGGAAAATGATTCACCTACAATGTTTAAGTACAATGCTTACTTACAATACGACATGCGTATGATATTGAATACATTCACTCAGTTAATATTATGTTATGTCGTACATTTTACTTATAGCATTGTAGTTTACCATTGATCTGAAATGCAATTTTATGTTCTAAGAATCCGTATTTCTTGGATGGTATTTCTGGGTCCACTGTCCCCAGAAAAATGTACCCTAAATTGGCAATGCATGACGATTATGAAATGTTTTGGTTAACAGCATATTTTATGGCGGACATGGTAGAGGGGCAGTATGTAAGTGTAGGATCATATGATTAATTCCTAGCAAAAACATGAGCATTTATTTAAGCAACTACATTGCAACTAGAGGTGGTAAAATCACATCAACTCGTTAATCTAACCCTAATTTAACCCGTAAAACCCGGGTTAGGATTTAGTATTGGACTCGTGACCCATTCGGGCCAATACTACTTGCTACCTGTTAAATTAAATTACCAAATCAAACACGCCTAAAACAAACTAGATTGCGAGGAGAGTGCTCGGACTTTCTGTCCGGACTCTCTAAATTTCGTGTCCGCCTGGGCATATGTATTTACATTTTTTGTGACATGCATATCATGTTTGTTGCAGTTTTACTACCCTAAATTTCACTTGGTAAAGAATGGCAAAACAAAGAAAAGATGTTCTCGACATTGAACCAAAAATGTTATCCAAATTGATCTAAAACCATTTGTTAGATTAATTTATTTCTCTTCATATAAATTAGGTTAAAACCCTTTTTTGGTCCCTGAATTATTGTACGGACCCCCGATTTGATTCCTAAATTAAAAAAATCCCTGATTTGGTCCCTATTGTTTACCATTTTTACCTCAATTTGGTCCTTCCGTTAAAAATTGTGTGACGTGGCA